CTCATGCAAATGGGTTTTGAAAACCGGATTTAACTTGTTCAGTTCAGTTTATTGTGTTAATTGATTGATGAAAAACGACTGATTTTGATTTAACATACAGGAGAAGTAGTTAAGTATAATGACTCTCTGCGTTTTCTTGGTTAGGAATATGGGCTTTATCATTACTACATAGATGGACAATCGTTTGAAAAAAAAAATCGCTTGATTTTGAGAAACAGATATGAAAAAAGAAATGCCGACAGGATGCCGTTTAATTTTTTAGTCAAAATACCTTTCACTATATAACAATGGTTGACAACAGCATTCAAAATAACTAATCATGCTCTTCTTTATTTCATTGTATGATTGTTTTATTTGTGTTTGCTTTTTTGTATTTTTTTCAAATTGATACTTTTGATTTAAAATTCCTTATTGAGTTTTCATATATGAGCAGTAGTACATGCATCCCAAGAATAATTTTATGAATAAAACAGTAGAGGTACCGCAACTCAATCTTTGGATTCATATCATAATTATATTTTATAGAAATAATGGACATAAACATCTGCATCTAATCAACCAAGCCCAAAATTTTAAATATCTGAACTTTCTAAAAAATAAAAATTGCTTTTATTTATATTCTACCCATTTGAAGTGTGTGCTACTTATAACCTAAAGCTATATTGAATATACATGGCTAAATGCCTCTTGGTTTCAAAGATTGTCGGAATATGTGAAAATTAGATTACATTCAAATAATATTTCCCACTTTTCAATATTTTATGAAGAATGACTCGTCTAATGCTATCGATGTTACTGAATTAGATAATTTACAAGTTTTCAGATTTTTTGCCACTATATGGCGGTCAAGGATTCCATGAGTTGAAAAGTTAGAGCAATGAATACGATATCACATGTATACATCTACATGCTATTGCCCGTCTGAAAAGTGATTCCATTTGTGATATCACTCAGATTCATGTTTACACATACATGTACGTGATAATTCAAAATGATGTCTATTTTTGAAGAGTGAAAATGCACCTTTTATGAATAATTTTTAGTATTTTGAAAACATGTTATTAGCAATTCCATTTGTTTGGTTGTTAGTACGGGAATTGATGTTTCTCGAAAAAGTAACACACTGAAAACTCAATATTATTCAATAAGAGACTATGCCTTGAAATATATCACGAAATATTTCCGCATTTTTAAAACAAACTCTTGCTCATCATAGGAGAAAGATCATCACGTTTTCAGTTTACTTTTAAAAAAAATCAAGACCATGTATTTTTGCTGCATAAATGCAGGTAGTAGGAAATATTTCTCTTTTATAATATTGAAAAGATTCAAAACTGATCAGTAGATAGAAGATAGTAATAATATGCACAGACTTAAGAATACCACAGGAGCGATTAGTAGAACTAAAACATAATATAGTAGTACAAATGTATCGAACTGTTCTCTGACATATCAATCAATCGGTTGATCACTTTGTAAGCAGTTATGTACACGAATATATATCTCTAGTTTATCAAGCCAACATATTTCTTAAACTTTTTGACTAGACATTAGTTTTATAAATGTCCACATGCATTTTATTGTGTCAAAAATTTTGTTTCACTCTTATTCACGAGTAACGTAATCATGTAGCATAACCGTTGTTTGTTAGGTTTGTTAGAAACTCTCATTTTGGTTGACCCTTATTTTTTTTTTACATGTAAATATAAAAAAAAAGTCATTGTTGATCATTTTCTTCACCAAGGACCACCATTTTGTCCTTTATTTACAAACCTTTCTAACATACTACCAATATTTATCATTGCCTATGACCTCATTGTGTTTAATTTTTTATTCATATTATGAACGGTCTGTTCAGATCGTTACCTTTTAATTTATTATATTATACTTTCATGTATATTAGTTGAATCTGATTGGTCGAGAAACATTTGTTAAAAGACACTTTTACCCGCTGAAAAATGAAGCCACGCCCTTCAGCGTAGCAACAGTCAACATTGCTTTGCAACGGGTGATATTTCCAAAAAATAGCGATTGCGCAGAATTTATGCGCGCACGGTTCACTGTTATATGTATTTGTATAAAACATTCAGTATAATATAATAAATATTGCATGTAGTTGAGTGTAACATTGGAAATTTTCACCCCTCGAAAACAATGGTCAACCTGCCTTGGTTGACAATGGTTTTCTTGGGGTGAAAATTTTCTGTTTTACACTCAACTACATGCAATATTTATATAATATTAATATGGTAATAAAAATGACGGTTAATGTATCGCGTGACCTTGACCATTGATGATAACTACGTAAGAAGACATACTGTAGAATCATATTGCACTTTAATTAACTGTGGCTCAACTGTTGTGGAATTCGCTGGTTCTCCACATCCACGAATTAACATCCTCCACAAATTAATAAACTATAGTAAGAAAGTCATGTTTCCTTTAGTAGATAAAAGAGAAAACACAAATAAAGCATGTCCTCACGAATAATTTTCGTAAGTCTGCATAAATGGATAAGTATTTTTAAATGGGGTTATTTCACATTCCCAAAAAATGGATAGATATGGTTAAATGTCGCTTCTATAGTTTATTTTGATGATATATTTACATTTAATCAAGTTCAGATCTAGACGTTTCAGAGAAAAGGTCCCTCTACATTCATCTATTTATTATAAGGGGTTTGTCATCCATGGACTCCATAACACAATCGATGTTCTTTCCTCACTTGTCGGAAAGGTCCGAGAAGTTGCAATTGTAATTCTTCTCTTTTCAAACATAGGTAAAGCAGGAGAACAATTGCAGTTTACCTCATCTTAAACTTTTCGTTAATCAGGGATACTAGATTTGTTTAAAAACTGGAAGGTTATCAATTATTTTATCGCTAGTTGGCGTTCAAGGATTCCATGAGTAAAAAAGCTACAACAATTATATGATAACACAAATTATATGATATTGCCCATCCAAAAGGAGATAAAATTTCTCATACTATCTTTTTCAAAACTTAAATTCTCACAGTTTCAAAAAGATAGTGTCGCATGTTCTGATGTACCTATTCTGATATCACCCATATTCGTGCTAACTCATTCTTGATAATTCTTTAAAAAAACTGACATTTTAAAAAAAAATTTGTATGCACCTTTTTGAAAACTCATTTTTTATAATCGTGTATAATCATGCATGAATTCAAGGCTCGTAGGCAACTACATGAAGAAGCAACAAAGACCACGAGAGGCTCTGGCTCGACTTATTAAACAAAAATATGTCCACATTATTCTGACAAAACCTGTTTTATATTAGAGACCGGGAATTGTTTGTTGTTTATTTTTAACATTCAGCCATATACATTTAAGGCTTCACAATTACTTATGTACGTAGGAAATATTTTTCATTTATACATTATAGAAAAGATTGAAAAGTGACCAGTAAAACTGTTGTGAGTTCTGGAAAGAAGCAACAGGCACAAAAAGAGAGAGAACAGTGAGTTTAAACATAAACATAATATACAAATGTATGGAACTGTTCTCTTGCAAATCAATAAATCAGTTGATCTCTTTGTTTGTAATTATTTACAAGAGTATTTCGAGTTTATTAAGCCAAAACTCTAAGAATTTTTGACAAGACAAAAGGTTTTTTTTTCTGTCTGCATGTGTCTGGTTGTGTCAACTATAACTATATTATTTATTATTGGTAACCTACCAAAAAGCATAATCGTGGGTGTGTAAGAAACTTTCATTGGGGCCCTTGTTTATTTCGTACGCAAATATAAAAAAAAGTTTTTTGGGATAATTTTTTTGATTAATTTGGATAATTCTATTTTTCTCCATCAAAGACAGAAAAACAACGATTTTTCTTAACTTCCAACTACAGAGTCTGTTATTGGAAGTGGGAAAAGAGTTGACATTGGAATTGAATTCTTCAATGGTTAAATGAAGCAGCTTATTTGAATAGTCTTTGCATAGGGTTTATATTGAAATATCAGTTTTGTTATTGGTTTGTTTGACTTCTTAATCAAATCTAGAAATATTTTAACATTATCTTTAGATATTTCATAATCCTGGGGCCAGATCGACACCTTTTAGCTTAACACAAAATATCACAGATGTCTGACGGTGATGATATCATGTGCTCTTGATCATTGATCACTTATGAACTTAGTAAAGATACATATTTGTTTAGGATGATCTAAAATGTGATTACTGAGTAATTTATCAAATCGTTATATAATTTTATTCAATGAAGTTTAGTTTCAGACTCTGTAGAGGTCCTCCGCACATTTCTTTTTAGTGAAAAGAGCCTGCCGTGTAATACATTTGAAGATTTATTTTGTCTGGCTCAAGAAGTTTCGATTGAAATTTATAGGTAAAGCAGGATGAGGAATCGCAGACTACCATGTACATAGTTACATGTAATTTTCAGTTTTCAATTAATATATATTCATCTAGTAAATATACATCGTTTCACATGAGGACATGCTCTCATGCCAACTTTATATTTTTTTCTATTTCGAAAAAGATCTCTGATAAATATAGAGAAAATACAAAATTGATGATGGTTAATCTATCAGCATTATTCGGTCCCCAATTTTACAGAATATCAATATAGCTAAGTGACAACAGTCTTTGTGCGATTGTTACGCATTTTAAGCATTTCTACATAAAATGAATAAAAAATATTTAAATATCAGAAATACAAAAGATGTATTCGCTCAGTGAAAAAAAATACTTATGAGAAATATATCCAATTAAGAAAGTGATAAGAAGTAGAAAAAAGTGACCGATGTTCATGCCCCATAACGCAAAAATGGTCCAATATTCTTCCGAAGGGAAGATATTACAAAGAATATTCGAAACATATTACTTTTTTTTTTAATTTTATTTCCGAAAACCTAAATTAAATAAGCTATTGGTACCATAAGGTTTAAAAATTGTGGCCAATATATATGTCTACTGCTATTTATTCATAATAATATATATATTTTATTGCCCAAAATATATACTTACATATCTGATCAATGTATCGGTTAATGTGTTCCTGAGAGTCCTGAATAAAATCAGCAATCGGATGCCAGGCCTCGAAAGTTTTATTTTATGTCAAACACGTGTTTGACAAATCTGCCACTGTTTTAAACACTTGGCAGTCAGATAACAAGAACTCATCCATGTGGTTTCCTCAGCTCTCAAAATCGATTTAAAGGGGCGTGAGATGTCTTATTGGATAATACATATTCTGAACTTCAAGCGGCGTAAGCATTCCTCTTGAAAACAGACGAAAATCAGTGATAGTTAATCGATATAAATTTTATTGTTGCAATCCCCGGGTTTAGTTTATCAAATTGGTACATGTAATCGGCGTAATTTTGTTATTCCGTAGATCGTGGCAACAAATGTTGCGCGCATTATGAGGCGAGGAAATCTCTTGGGGAACATTTTTACAAACATCTGGCGTGAACGCTCTTATTTTCTCTTCAAGAGACATCATTGTAAATGTTAATACGCGGATCATCGTCGTTAAATGCATTCATTTTGGAATGCAACGCGATGTCCATTGAAATATTCCTATGCTAAAATAGATTCACAAACTTTTGCACTACAGAGATACATTTTATTCCTACAATAAAAGATTAACTTCCATTTTAAATTTTATTGAATGGGGGATCTGGAACTTTATATTTTATTTTCTAAAGGGAAATCATTTTCATTAGATAGATGGCATACACAAATATATCGTTTTAAAAGAGTACAAATTTGCAGAAAAAGAACAAGGAGAGAGAGAGAGAGAGAGGGGGGGGGTGGGGGCTACGTAACAAATCAATGAATACTTTTGTATGTTATATATGCTCTATATCTTTCACAACTCACAAGGACAAAAAGGATTCGAAAGGTTTCTACATTATCTGGAAAGGTTATATGAGTTATTCATACAATGGCAGTACGATGTCTCTGTCATACGTATACAAATAGCCGCCAGCAGGATCGATAATCAGAGGGATAGAAGTGCTTGCGATTGTATAAAAATCAAATTTTATTTTTCAGTCTTTAATATATGGGCAAATTTGGCAAGAATAATACCCTCTCTCTCTGGAGAAATTGAAATCAACTATTAAGTAAATTTCAAATCGTCTTCTTCATAAGGTATGCAATTTGAAAAAGATCTCTCTACTAAACATTCCTATGTTCAATTTTTTTCGAAAGAAGTCAAAAATCCCTATGCTTCGTATGGCGTTTGTGAACCTGAGGCTCTGGGGTAAGAGACTAGAGATGGCATCAAAATAATATTTTGACAGTCGATGCATATGATCTTTACCATAGTCATCTGATGAAAAGGGTCATTAAAGTACGAAATATCGATGTTTAAAAGCATCCTTTACTCTAAAATAACAATGGGCTTGGATCTCGTACTTTCAATAAACTCTTTCAGAAACTTTGAAGTTTTCAAGCCCATTTTATAAAACCTTATATATATATGGATACTATCTATAAGACAAGTTGACAAGGATTGGATGAAATATATGGAGACATCGAACAGTATTCAAGCTCAAAAGTCCATTAAAGAATGAAAACCTGGAGCAGAGCAAACATAGACCTCCAGAACAGATACATCTAAATGTCGAGTTGAAGGCCACAATAAGTGTTTTATTCTTTTTTTACGTATAAGACTTTGGACAAATTTTGCTATATATGAATACAACAACAGATCTGCAAATAACGAGGCGCAATTGATACTCATGGGATTTCCAATAGATTGTTGGAAAAGTTGGTCCTCAAAAACCACATTTATATTGTCATCAGAAATTCAAGCATCTTTTTAATATCAACTTCATAAAACTTAGTGGTGTTTACAATCAGAATGATATTCAATTTTTTTTTTTACAAAATAATTTTGCAAATGACCAATGATAAGGTAAGTAAATTTACGAGTTCCATTTTGCAAAAACAGCTGTCAATGATACATGTATCAGGAGGCCTTGGCTTTAATTCATCCGGGGAAATGGTTGTATATAAAGTTTAAAAGTCAAATTTTTATGCTGTTATAACAATTTAGTAAAGTTTTGTGATTTCAAATTTTTCCAAAAGTTTCTTGGAATTTTTCAGTATCCATATTTAATTTACACCACTTCTCGTATAATTTGTTGCATAGTATTCCTGAAGTTTCTCCTTCTGTTAATATTTTAGTCAGGAGTAAAGAAAATAGATTGGTATTTGCTGGAACTCACTAAGTATCTTTGTCTGTAAGGATTTTAATTAAGTTTTGAAATCCATTAGAGATATGGTAGTTCAAATTCGTTCTGGTTGTTAGGAATATTAAAATATTCAAAATTGACATATGATTTTGAAGATCTCAAATCATCTTTTCAATCTAATTTTCATTTGTCTACAAACCTTTACATTGAGCAGACCTAGAATATTAAAATATTCAAAACTGACATATGATTTTGAAGATCTCATATAATCTTTTCAATTTAATTTCAATTTGTCTACAAACCCTACATTGAAAGTCTTTGTTAATATATTCAGAAAACGCAGCAAATATTTTTAACATTGCAGAGACTTAGTGATATGTACCATTCACAATTTCTCGGGCCTTTCCGACAAGTGGAAAAACAACCTTGAATGTATTGCATAGGCGCAATCCCCTTTTCACAAAGATACATGTATTACCTAAAATATACTACAGAAGGGATTTCAATTCCGTCTATCCAATACTTTCATATAAACAGGAAGCGACTCCATATGTGGTATAGATTTTTAACATCCAGTGAGGTTAATACATTCGATGTTGCTTTTCCGACCGCTGAAGGAAAAACGCGAGACGATGCGATTGGTAATGCACTTCTGCAGGTGTGCAGTTATACCTGTGACGAGTGAATCATATTCCGTAGTTCTAGTGCAATCTGGCAAAAAATGTGTAATTACCTCTACCTAGCTTAAAATAAGAGAGATATGTATTCAAAATCACTTCCGTTTGGTGGTCCTTTTTGATAAGTATCTAAAAAATTTCCATATTTTATATTTATCATTTGTATTCGACAAAACCATGCTTCAATGTATTCAAGCCAAAAAAATGAATGCATGTAAAGTAACATGATTATCATATAAAAATGCGATAAAAATACCGATTGTTGCCCAAAATCAAAATAATGCGATGAAAATACTGATTATAGCACAAAATCATTAATACACAACAGATAATATGAAACGCTACCGGGCAGACGCCTATCTAATTCACTTAAGCAAAATTTACAATGGCCATCTTATCTTTCAGTGCTCAGTTTGTTTTCCTATCCAGTATCGTTTTTCGGTAAATAAATTCATTTTACAAACAATCTAAAATATATAAAGGAACAAAAAATAAACTTATTTAGAGAACTAATTTATGGCTTGTTTGTTCCATAATTTTGAAACATTATTTCCTGGCCTTTTAACGCACGTTAACTTCCGTGATTTTTGTTCGTAACGCACGTATTTGATACCTTTATACGTTTTTTAAAAAAAATTTCAATATCAGTGACTGGAATTTCAAGAACTCAACCTTTATATTCAACATGTCTCCAGAAATCCCTTTTAGTTTAAAAAATATTTTCAATACAGTTAGTCCCTTCACTCCCACTTCAAAACACTTTTTAGGAATGAATTTATTAGCTACTCGATGCATACAGTATCAGCTGGGTTGGAACAGTTTACGCTTTATAAACTGCAAAGCTTATTCTGACATCAGGCAAATTGATACATTTTTACGCAAGTCATTGTGGCACCAGAGGTTTTAAGATATAAACTCTCTTTATCCATTATATAAAAAATGGAGATGACGAACAGTATTCAAACTCAATAGTCCATTAAAATAATACAAATTGGAAGTAATGCAAACACGAACCTCCAAATTATCAGGGATGGGATCAGGTACCAAGGAGGAGGGAGAACCCCTGTTGACCAGTTACTATGGCAGTTGGCTTTCTACTTAATAATATATAGTACTTGCTGACAAAATCACTGTATTGACCATAGGACTTGTGAAATGGTGGACTTAAAGGAGATTGTTGATATTCTTTTTTTTATGATTTTGGTTGCGAATAGTTAGTATCCTTTTTGAATTGGGTGGAGCATGTAAATGTGCGTTATGGAGCATGCATTTGCATATCGAATTAACTAAAAACGATCCACGTATGCAAGTGATAAAGGTGTATTGCTACACGGGTAAGGGAAGTTGACGTCGAAAAAATGAAGTCATCACGTTTATTTTAAAGTATTTTAGATAACCATTTCGGTCTTTCTAGAAAATATGTGGATAAAAAACAGATGTATCAAACTTAGTGGTATCTTTTACTTCAAGTTTAAAGAGATCTAGAAATGGAAGTAATAATCTTAATTAATTATATTTTAAATGTCATGTTGAAGAACACAGCTGCCAGCAAGCGTTTTCTTCTCCTTATGTAGATTTTTAAAAATAAATTTTGCTTCATATGAATACAAAAGTAGGTAATAATGAAGTACAAATAGTACTCACGAGAAATCCGAAAGATAGTTGTAAGAATGATTTCTTAAAACTACATAGAAATTTTTAATAAGAGATTAAGACATAATTTTAATACATTAAAACTTCTAAGTATGTATGTATTATGATGTTTCTCAAAAGATTATTCCTACATATTTATTCTTAGATCTTGACCCTCTATTGGGAAACCATGCATGGCACCCCTGTCCACAATTAATGAATTGACCAGATGTAAATCTATAGCACATATGATGGTTGTGTTGCGACTAATTGCCATTCTTGAAAAGATTTTCAAAAATAAATTCCTTTATATGTATAAATCCAAATGTTATCTTTGACTCTCTATATTGGTATTGGGATATGGCATTTACAAGAAGACAGGGATACACATTTACCATTGAACTTTGGTTCCCTCTTCAATGATAATTTTTAAATATATAAATGTGTATATATTCCACAAGAGACATTCTAGAACTTCTCCGATTTAGAACTGTTCAATTTCAGAGTAGGACAAACCATATGATTTAAACCTGTCAAATTTAGTTTCCTAACTTGGTTTGATGGGCACTAGAGTGTTACATTAATTAAGGAACAACTCATGCAATTTTCATGGTTCTTGATGGGTTACAAAAAAATTTCAGCGTATTTTCAATATTGTGAAAAAGGCAAAATTTAATGCTTATTGACATTTCTCTATAGTTTAATAACATTGCATTTAACGTTCTAAAATAGTCGATAAAACTAGGATGCATTAAATAAGATTTATATTAACTTGATTTTTTTTCAAATGGGAAAACACTTTTAGGG